CCGGGCTGGGGATTCGAACCCGCCACCTTAGGTGTACGTGGCTGGCGCCTTAGCCGGTTGAGCTATAGGCGCCGAGCCTCCAAGTACATTTTAAAAGAACCATAAAGAACTTCTAAAAATGAACAATATGACAGTTGAAATTCAGAAGGTCTAATATTTTAAAGTAGAATTTCCATAAGGATACCCCAGGAAGAATGGGGATGAAGTAATATTCAAAAAAATCATAAAGATGTCCATTCTTTCCTAAACTTATCTATAAATGTAACGCAGTCCCAATGAAATTCCCACTAGGAGTTTTTTCCCTGAAGAACTTGGTAAGATGATTCTAAAATTTATATAGAAGAACAAAGTTGCTCCTAGAGAAGAATAAAGTGGGAGAACTTACACTGCCATTTACAATACTAATTATAAAGCTATAGTCAACACAGTACTGGAACAGGGACAGACAAGTGAGCCAGCAGAATAGAACAGAGCCCCCAAATAAACACAGGCATATACAGAAACTTGCTTAAAGTGAGAAAGAACGCTACTTATGCTTTGGCACCCATAGCTCAGTGGGTAGGGCGCCAGCCACATGCACTGGGGCGGGTGGGTTCAAACCTGGCCCAGGCCTGCTAAACAACAATAGAAAAACTGAGGCTTGGCTACTGTAGCACAGTGGTGAGGGTGCCAGCTACATACACCGAGGGTGGCAGGTTCAAACCCAGCCTGGGACAGCTAAACAACAATGGCAATTGCAACAAAAAATAGCCAGGCATTGTGGCAGGCGCCTATAGTCCCAGCTCCTCGGGGGGCTGAGGCAAGAGAATTGCCTAGGCCTAAGAGCTGGAGGTTGCTGTGAGCTTTGATGCCATGGCATTCTATCCACAGTGACAAAGTGAGACTCTGTCTCTAAAAAAATTAAAAAATGAGACTCTGTCTCAAAAAAATAGTTGGGCGTTGTGGCGGGCACCTATAGTTCCAGCTACTTGGGAGGCTGATACAAGAGGATCACTTATGCCCAAGAGTTTGAGGTTGCTGTGAGCTATGATGCCATAGCACTCTGTCCAGGGCAACAAAGTAAGACTCTGTCTTAAAAAACAAAAACAAACAAAAAGAATGGCCAAATAGATGGTGGTGATGATGATGATGATGATTACTATTTTGAGATAAGGTCTTGCTCTGGCACCTGGACTAGACTGCAGTGGCTTCATCGGAGCTTACAACTTCAAACTCCTAGGCTCAAGCAATTCTCCTGCTTCAGCCTCCCAAGTAGCTGGGACTACCTGGTGTATGCCACCATGCCCAATTAATTTTCTATTTTTGTAGAGAAGGGGCTTGCTTTTGCTTAGGCTGGTCTTGAACTCCTGGCCTCAAGCGATCCTCCCACCTTGGCCTCCCAAAGTGTTGGGATTACAGGCATGAACCACTGTGCCTGGTCCAAGTACATTTTATTTTATTTTATTTTATTTTATTTTTTTGAGACAGAGCCTCAAGCTGTCCCCCTGGGCAGAGTGCCATGGCATTACAGCTCACAG